GAAAAAGGAGAGGGAGAAAGAGAAAAAGGAGAGAGAGAGAGAGAGAGAGAGAGAGAGAGAAAGAGGGCATTGTATTTTATAGTCAACAGTCATTGTTATAAAAATTGTATTTTCATAGAGGATTAAAACATTAAGAAAACAATATAGCAAAATTATCATTTCATTGAATTAAAAATACACCTCAAAAAATTTACCAAAATAAGAGGAAACATGTTCTTAGTTAGCAAAAACAAGACACACGTTCTCAAACAATCTGGTTTTTTCTGCGTTTGAAGCCGGTTCAAACAAAATTGCACAGCTGAACATCACCCAATTGGGCATCACTAACTACCAAACTAAACCCCAATCGATTAAATACTAATTTATCTTGAAAATGGTAAAAAGTGATAAAAGAATAAAATAAAATGACGAAAAGCGAAGTCCCATTTTTATGTTTTCTCATTCGTCAGATCTCTAAGTAACGCTATTCGTTATATCCCATCCGCCTAAGCGCAATTCTTATGAGAATTTTCAACAAATTTTCACAGCATAAAAATGTTTTTATCATTTTTTTTGTTAATTCATTCAATATTCATCCATTTTTCTTTCATTTAATTTATTTAAATCAATTTTTCCATTTATTGTTTTAATAAAGCTTTTCGTTTATTGTTGATAAATTTTCAAGTCTGTCTAGAACTTGGATGGGAGCCATATATTATAAAGCACTTGATAAGAGCACAGAAACACTTTTCAGATTTTGGGAAACATTTCCAATGATTACCATATTATCAGATCTGATTATTTCACACAGTGGCGGGGGTACAGGTTTGAACTGGACAGGGCGCGTAGCAGAGGGGGTAAGGTTCAAACCTGGACAGGGCGTAACAGGTTCAAACTGGAGTTTTGCTTGGGGCACCATTAAAAGGGTGTGCGTTTCAAGTACTAACCCTTATAAACAAAATGAGTCGTTCAAATTGGGTAGAGTGGTAGTGTAGCTAAGAGATCTTCGCCAGGCAAACATGTGTAATGCCTTGAAACATTTTGAGAACAATTAAATAATCATTTTTTTTTAATTATAAAAAATAACGAAAAAATAAAAAACAACCATTTTATTTTATCAATTTATTCATTCAAATCGTTAATTTTATTTCCACCTAGTTTTTTTGCTCGTTAATGAGAAAATTTATAATTTTTTAAAAATTTCAAAATACTAGGAAGAAATAAATAAATAAAAATTTGGTGTGTGTGTGTGTGTACGCGTGTGTTGTGTGTGTGTGTGTCTGTGTGTGTGTTTGTGTAAATTTGGATTTGAAATGAAATTGAATTTTTCAAGAAAGTCATTTTATCATTAAATATCAAATGGATGTTTTACAAATTGCAATTATGTAATTAAATTAACTAAATTAAATTTGAAATCAATCAGTCAATCAATTGATTTAAGAGTCAATCGCTTGATCAATCAATTATTCATTCAATCATTCATCAAATCAATAATTCCTTAATGCATTCATCAATCAATAATTCAATCATTTATTCAATCATTCATTCAATCATTTATTCAATCACTCATTCAATCAATCGTTCAATCAATCATTCAGTCGTTGAATCAGCCAATAGTTTTCAAGTCTTCAGAAAGTCATATTTTATTATTCTTTTTAAATCATTTTAACTGTTAACAATTTTTGTTCTAATTATTAAGAAATATGTACTAATGAATGAATGATTAAATGAATAAATGAATGATTAAATGAATGAATGAATGAATGAATGAATGAATGAATAAATGAATGAATGAATGAATGAATGAATGAATGAATGAATGAATGAATGAATGAATGAATGAATGAATGAATGAATGAATGAATGAATGAATGAATGAATGAATGAATGAATGAATGAATGAATGAATGAATGAATGAATGAATGAATGAATGAATGAATGAATGAATGAATGAATGAATGAATGAATGAATGAATGAATGAATGAATGAATGAATGAATGAATGAATGAATGAATGAATGAATGAATGAATGAATGAATGAATGAATGAATGAATGAATGAATGAATGAATGAATGAATGAATGAATGAATGATTAAATGAATGAATGAATGAATGAATGAATGAATGAATGAATGAATGAATGAATGAATGAATAAATGAATGAATGAATGAATGAATGAATGAATGAATGAATGAATGAATGAATGAATGAATGAATGAATGAATGAATGAATGAATGAATGAATGAATGAATGAATGAATGAATGAATGAAGGAGAGATTGAACAAATGTAAAATTGGATGAATCAACAAGCTGATATATGAATAATTAAACAAATGTATGAATGAATGAATGTACGAACGAACGAATGAACGAACGAACAAATAAGAAATGGATAAAAAATTAACGCTAACATTGTAAAAAAACATCGAACACGTGGATCACGAAGAATACTTTCAACCGCAAAACTTTATTTTCATTCAAAAAAAGACCATCTTTAACCACAAAACGTCTCAACCAAAAGGTTATTTTCAATCGAAGAACTTTTTTATCAATCACAGAATCTGCTTCTTGCACCATTCCAATGATTTTCTCCTTGCGAGTTCCAGCCAAGATGGTTCCACATTGGATGTTGTTGTGGCTGTTGTTGTAGTATTTTTGGTGGAGTATGGTGTTGGTGACGACCCTTTAAATTGTTGTTGTTGCTGTTGCTGCTGTTGCTGCTGCTGATGTTGTTGCAGATGGTGCTGTTGAGGATAGTAATAATATTGCTGTTGTTGTTGTTGGCGTTGCTGATGTTGATGACGTTGTTGTTGTTGTTGTTGATGTTGTTGTTGCTGCTGTTGATGTTGTTGTTGTTGTTTAAAATGTGTTTGTTGTTGTTGAATTTGATGAACTTTTAGATGTTGTCTAGTTAGTTGTTCAACGTTTTTGCCAAGAACGGGCATAACATGTGGTTGTTGTTTTTGTTGTTGTTGCGGTTGTTGCTGCTGCTGCAGATAATGCTGTTGTTGCGTATAATACTGTTGTTGGTGTTGATAATATTGTTGCGAATGTTGCAGTTGCGGTTGCTGTCTCTGTTGCCGGTTGCCTAATGCAACGTTAATGTTTTGCGTCGTTAATGGCTTGTTGCTAAACGTATTGTCGGAGAAAGAGCTGGACCTAGCAAATTGTTGTTTTTGGCGTTGCTGTTGTTGTTGTTGTAGTGGTTGTGGCTGTTGTTGTGGCTGTTGTTGTGGTTGTTGTGGCTGTTGTGGTTGTTGTGGCTGTTGTGGTTGCTGTGGTGACAATCTTTGATACAGTTGCTGTTTTTGTGTTGGTATAGCTGTCTCGTATAACTTATTTTGTTTGTCGTTGCTGTTGTTGTAAACATTGAAGACGATGTCATGAGAGCTATGAGCTTGTTTTTTGGTGTTGTTATTGATGTTAGTAGATGTAGTTGCTTGGCTCAACTCGTTGTTATTTCTGAAATAAGGGTAATAATCGCAATGTTGTTGTTGGATTTGTTGTTGTTGTTGTAGCTGCTGCTGCTGCTGTGGATGTTGTCTGTTGTGTTGCAAGAAACTGTGCTGTCGTTCGTATAGAAGTTCACTTTTAATTCTTTCGACGTTGCTTGTGTTGTTGTTGTTTGTGTTGTTGCGGTCCAGAATGTTCTCGGCGGAGTGCCTTCGCGCGTTGAACGTTCCGGAGCATCCTGCTTCCGAGAGAGGGATTAAGAGGGAGTGAGATTGGTGGGATCAAATGACGGATAGATTTTTTCAAATAAATATACAAATTTGATAAAAATAATAATAATAATAACTGATTAGTTAGTTACCTTGCAGTGATGCCATTAATCTGCTCTTCACTTCTTCGAAAGTGGCCTCGCGTTCTATCGTCTCTACAGTTGAACCCGATGTAGTAGCAGCAGTAGCAGCAGCAGCAGCAGTAGTAGTAGCTGTTTTAACAGCAGCAGCAGTAGTAGATGTAGCAGAAGCAGTATGAAAAGTGGTGGTCACCGTTGCTGTTGAGGCGTTTTTGCTTTGTGATTGAACGTTGTTTTCGCAAAGATCGCGATTCCGTTCGATTTGAGATTCATCACTCATGCAGCTGCTTCGATTTTCAGTTCTCTTTGCATGTTTGGTTGCCTTTTCATGTATGTCTCCATCTATATCTGCCCTTGCAAAGTCATCTTCTGAGGGGACTTCGTTGGACTGTTTCTCAACTGCAGTTTTCAAGTTTTCGTCGTTCGCATTTTCATCTTTTTTTGTATTTTTTGCTCCATAGTAGTGAGAAACAACGCCGTTCTCACAATCTCTGCTTGTCTCATCTTGTAACATTTTCTTCTTACGAAACTTATCAAACATTCTCGAAAGTTCCGTATCATTTTCGCTCCTGCTCAGCTTATCATCTCTACTAATGTTGCTTCCGCCCACTCTGTCGGAAACAGTTTCGTCGTGAAAATCTTCGGCATTTCCCATAGAACGAGGTTTTTTCGGTTTGACGAGCGGTTTCGGTTTCGATTTGCTTAACCCTTCGATTAACTTCTGCGGTGAGATGACGGCGAATGGTTGAGTTGGTTGTTCTTCGTCTGTTTCCACGTAATGGTAATAATGCTGCTGTTGCTGCTGCTGTTGCTGCTGCTGTTGCTGCTGCTGCTGTATTTCACGTTTCCTTATTTTCAATTCGTCTAAACTGCAAGTACTTCTGGAAATTTCGCTGTCGACATCGTCATTGTCGTCGTTGTCGTTGGTGATGTTCTTGTTGCGTTTGAGCTCCTTGATGAGTTCCGTGTGAAGGGGGTTCGGTTTGGCTCCGATTGGGATTGGTTTGCTTCGTTTTGGTAGGTCCGTTTGTTGTTGATGTTGTTGTGGTTGCTGCAAATGTAGTTGTTGCTGCAACTGTTGCTGTTGCGAATATTGTGGTTGTTGCTGGTAATGTTGTTGTTGCTGCTGCTGCTGCTGAATAACCTCCTTCGAGTGCGTGGGTGCGGGTTTGATTGGTTGAAAGAGTGCAGCTTGCGTTTGAAATGTTTGGTATGGTTGTTGTTGTTGTTGTGGTTGTTGTTGTGGATGGTGTGCGAGCTGCTGCTGATGATGATGTTGGTATAGCTGTTGTTGCTGGAATTGATGTTGCTGGAATTGTTGTTGTTGATGCAGTTGTTGTTGTTGATGCAGTTGTTGTTGTTGATGCAGTTGTTGTTGCTGATGCAGTTGTTGTTGTTGATGCAGCTGTTGTTGTTGCTGATGCAGTTGCTGTTTTTGTATGTAAATATCGGCAGCTTGTTTTTGCCAGATATCAACTCCAATTGGATATTCACAATTATCACTTTGTTGTTGATGCAGTTGCGATTGTTGCTGCAACTGCTGCGGTTGTTGTTGATAGTGAGGCTGTTGTAGTTGCTGCTGCTGCTGCTGCTGCTGATATTGGGTTTGATACTGAGGTTGTTGGCATTGTCGTATTTGAACACGTTGTTCAGGAGTGAAAAATTGTTGAGATTGTTGTTGTTGATGTTGTTGCTGTACTTGTTGTTGATAATGTTCTTGACACAACAAATGTGGGACGATTGGTGTTGAAACTTTGTTAAAATTATAGCTGTCGGCTGCTGATTCACACGAGTCTATGTCAGTTTCTTTGGAGTTGATGTTGATGGCGTAACCCTTCAAGTAACGATTTGTTGTCGAAACTTTTGTTGATGTCGTTGATGATGTTGTAGCGCTATGCATTGCTGTTGTTGTTGCTGTTGTTGTTGTTGTTGTTGCCGCTGTTATTGTCGTCTTGATTTTGAAGTACAGTTATGGCAAAAAATTTCGATTGACAAAAATTCGTTGTTAAGAAATTTTGAAAATTGTTCAACTCGGCAAAAATTTAAAAATTTAAAAGTAAAAAATACATACCCTTAAAATATTTGAAGCTTGTTGATTCGATTGATGTTGTTGT